TTTTCTTGGTCTGTAGGCTTCGCTTGCTGACCGTTGGGAGTTTTCTTGGTCATTTTTGTTCTTTTCGCTTGCCTTTCACCTATATATTTAGTTCGGTAAAATAATTACAAGCGGCTTTATTTATTGTGTACTGTGCACTTATCCCGCATTAGACACACATTACCTGCTCCTTAATCAAGCATTAACCCTTTACCCACGAATTCCGTCACACACTTCGACTGAGAGACTTTTGCCATTGGGCCGCCCTATGATTTATTCCTACATTCCTTAATTGCTCATAATAACACATTCGTTAATAACACTGTCTAAGCAATTGTGGGAATATGCTGCTTTTTGCCGTTTTTATTACTGATCTGGTGGTCTCTGTATACTAAAGAAAAACGATGCTATTTAAGGCTAATAACAGCATGAAGACTGCAGTCATCATGCTGCAAACGTTGGTCATGACCAAAGTTTGCTTGTAGTTTTTAATACGCATCAAATCCTACAATTTTGGCTCTGATACATAGTTAAGAAACGACAATTCACTCACTTTTGCTCACCAGGGTTTTAATCCCAACATATGTTGGCTAGTTCTGACGGTCACGGACGCCTGGCAGGAAGTTGAATGCCATTGGAAGTCATCCAGTGAAAATGAGTGTTGATCAAACATTTTTACGGAGAGTGGCTGTGATAATTTATTTACTCACTGACAACTGTCTAGAACTATCGTCTTTATTCTCATTGTTATACTACATTTCTACCTAGACAAGCCTTCATGGTGGAGAAGACAAGTAAACTACGTCCAGTTCCTTCAGTGGAGCCGCCGTACGGCAATGATGCTAAAAATGAAAATTCTGAAAGTGTTCACAGTGAAGTTGCCAGGGCTACCCCCAGGCCAAGGCTACAGCTTAGGCAGATGACGTCTTCAGACTTGCGGATGTAATCCACTCCAGCTGGACCGTTGGAATTCCCGAGATGTTTCTGACAGGCAAAATGATTCAATAGATCGCGAATAAGTCTTGCACTCTCCAAACCCCTTCCAAGCAAAAAGGCATACATACCTGCACCAGCCATTTGATGTTATTGCACGAACTAATCGAACCGAAGTCCCATGGAATCAAGTTCCCCGAGATCTCTCCATGCTTCGTGTTTTTTTCTTTCTCTCTCTCTTACTGTCAGCAAATCAGTAGTTAACAGACCCACGTTTTCCATTATGATTTCACATTATCGGTAGATCATATTGTCATTGCACTCGATATAATTCGTTAACCGCTTCTTCATATTTAGTGTGAAAAGGGGCAGAACTATGCTCGGAACGTTCCAAGGCCTACACACATTATAGCCAGAAGGAAGTTACCAACAAAAGCAACAGAGACTAAAAGGGACATTACCAGCCTATTAGCTGTATCAGCCAACCGTACCCAATCCCAGGCTTTGCAACGTCCGAGGCTTGAAATGGCGACCTCTCAGTTAGAGTCCAACGCTCTAATTACTTCGTTAAATGACCTTTATCCTGTCAGTTTCCATCGGAAATATTAACAACTGTTATCAGTTACCGCCGAGCGCCACTTGATCATATATACGTATGGTTGATCGAGTTCACCTGTTTCATGAATTTCCCAATCCTGTTCCAGGTGATTATAGCAAACGTGTCATCAACCAACTGCACACACAACCTTGATCAGTAGGAATTACAAGCCCGTGCATTCAGTTGTTGCAATACTTAATCAGCTATCAGACGGAGGATCGGCGACACTAGCGGTGCACCTTTAATCTTTTCGTACACTGCTCCATTGAAGGTGAGGAGGGTCTTCAAGTAGTGTTTCACGATGCCGATAATGTGCCTTATCTTATTATTTTGCCTGCTTCATCGTTGCGCTCGTCTAAGAGGGTTTTGGTGGTTTTAACTGCGAGGTGTTGTGGGATCGCCGTGAGAACAGACAGCATGTCGGCAGAGACCGTCATGTCATCCTCTGCCATTTGCAGCTTTTGCAGATTTGTGTAACTTGGTCAGTCGAACCGATAGTAGTATCAACACCCGAGTTGGAAATGTACGGCGCTAGAAACCCACTTCGTTAGCCCAAACGTTCAGGTGGCTTTGGAAAAACGATTGGTCCTAAAGGTGATCCGGTTTTGTGGATATTGGCGAAGCAATGAGATCTCATGATCGCCCCATCCTTCGGCTTCATCTACTGCCAGTTAGTCCGTGTTGTAGTCTTAAATTTCCGAAGACTTCTCAGGTCTTTGTTGATGTTGCGTATAAGTGTCCTTAGAGGATCACCTTCGCGAGGAATGCAGACAGTTCTAGGGCCTAAAAGAACATCAACTTTGGTGACGTAACCCTCCTTGCTCAGTAAAGCTGTCGACCGTCCCTTGTCTGCTGGAAGCACGAAAATATTTTGTCCTCCTTCAGTGTCCGTAATGCGTCGGTTCTTGTCTTCAAGGGTGCCTTGCGTTTCATATAGGAGCACAGTCCGTAGGATATTTTTCGTTGTAACTGATTTCTGTTTTCGTAGTGGCTTTACGAGCGATAGATGCCGCCACCGCGATGAAGCGAAAATGCCAGG